TACGCATCCTAATGGTTAAATTGCCTATTTAACTCTCCGTTAGATTTATCTATAATATAGTATTTTTTTCATTTAATTTTTAGTTGTAACGTAATAGCTTGCCTATAATATACAAATATGGATTTGGCCTATAATGTATAATTACCATATAGGCCTAGGCCAGTAGATAGGTCTCGCAATTTAAATGTGTGAAATTAATATACAGTGTACGTAACTCATATACTTAAACATGTGTTCATCGGGAAGATCATGACACAAAATGGACGGTGTGCACCACGTGACTTTTGCAAACCAAGGAGCGGAATGTCGCAACTCTTTATATATATGGCTTTGACTGTAGTCAGAGCAAGGTAATTCAAATCGGTCGGAGGGCCAAAGTGAAATTCTGATTTAACATCGAGGGCCGCACCCAAACTTTGATCTTTCAAGTGCGCTTCTAAAACACCTCTAATCACTGCTGTTACACCACTTTATTTCCAGTTTTAATTACTTTTTACATATGATCGGTGTCAGGCCGTAAAAATTATTTTCTAGCCAATGTTGCTTGGCGGGCTGCAAACATAGGGTTTTAATTTCATATTCGTGGGTGTGTGATAAAATTTGTAAATTCTAAATAATAAGAGTGGCTTTTAATGATTAATTGCCTTGGTAGTCAGAGCCATATGTTTATATAATTATATGACTCTGACTGTGTAGTAGGCCTACAGTATACACAAAGCGAGAACATTCCAGCGGATGTGATCTACAAGCTCTGAATTTGCCTAGTAACGAAGAATTCGTCGAGAAAATGGTAATCTCCTATGAGAAATAGTCTCTATTTCTCATTTTTTTGCGTAAAACTAAAATTTATGTCAATATTTTTCCATGGTTTAGGCCTATAGTAATTTTAATAATGCATATTAATTTTCTTTTCTAAAAAAATTCTTTTTTAGCGAAATTTTGCCGGGAATAGGGCTTTAAAGTTTGCCTACTATTATTTATATTATGGATGATTATATTTAATTTTGATATGATTTATTCGGCTTTATATAAAACAGAAACACACAATTAAAATACATTAAAATCATTTCAAAAAAGCGTCCAAGATTAAATAACAAAAAAAAATCAGGTCATTACATATTAAAACAATAACAATAAAATCCAGTCATAAAATGGGAACATCAACAATCGACAGAGAGACAAAACAACATCAAAGCCAAGGATGACCCATGAAGTCAGAATGACTTATTTCCAATGGGGTCCTTTATAGGGAACATGCGTGCGTGCACGCGCGGTTGCCTAAACAACCGTTCAAGAAGAAGACGTTAGCGTATAATACCGTACGTCTTCCAATTTAAACAGCAATTGACGCCACTTATCGATTTCATCATCAATTTATTTCAGGGGCGGATCCACAATTTTTCAAACGGGGTGCACAATAGTCTCAGCATAGGTAAGCGAGTAGCACATACCGCCCACTCCCCCCCCCCCTATAAGAGACAGCTTCCTGTGCTCGTGCTCTCCCATCCTGTGCTCCCCTACTGGATCCACCCCTGAACTTAGGCTAGGCCTACGTTCAGACTAGGTTTATAAATCCGGCTCAACTCACCGGGTCCACCTACCAGTCTGAACTAGGTGCCAGGCCAGGCTGTGTTTTTATTATAGTAATTAGGCCTGGACCATTCCCGGTAAAATTTCACTAAAATAAGAATTTCTGAGAGGGGTTAGAGGTCAAATATTGAGTTTGACAATACTGCCCCCCCCCCCCTGGCAAAAGGGCATAACTGACACTTTACTGGGTCAGTACATCACGTTACACATGTTTACACAAAAAAAAGTGTCCCCCGAGCTAGATAGGGGCATGGCAAAAGGGCATAACTACACAATTTTCAGTAAATTCTCAAGGCAAAAGGGCATAACTGCAAAGATAGACACTGATACGCTGAAGCGTGACGTTCTTTCAACATCCAACCAATCAGAAGAGAGCTTTCTCCCTGGTTACAATGAAGGTTGCATGTTAAGTTGTATTATTTTTATTATTCTTACTGTTTGTGTACTCACAATTTGTAAATAGAAATTGGTTAAATAGTATGATTCTTGACAGTAGCATATGTCTAGTTAATGTTAGGCAAACATAAGTCTAGTTAATTTATGCTATATAATCTTGCCTTACTTTGAATGGCAACAGTTTAAGACTATGGAAATAAACTATGGGAAAATAGTAACTGTTTAATAAAAATAATTAACCATGGCAGAATAACAATTCACATTTTAACTAGAAATAACAGTGACAAAGAGGGACAACTAAAACGATTATTTAGCAAATAACTATGGCAAAGAGGCACAACCTGTCTCTTATACACATCTAGATGTGTATAAGAGACAGGTGTATCTTTGTCTGTTACATCTATCACATTGCCCCATTTATCAGACAGGACACGCCTGCTCCTAAAATATTAAAATAAATAAATTCTTACTTTATCAAAAAAAACCGATATTGATAAACATTTCTCCGTACATCTGTTTTTGTGCTCACAACATTAGATGTTCAGCAAGCTGACATACCAACACCACAAATTGTCACTTTTGTCCAAGGTTGGTTAACCAAATGAATTCCAAAGGCCCTGGTCATTTTAAATATTCTATTGCTGCCGTCCTACTTCAAGTTTACTTACTTACTTACTTATCCTCTTCGGGTCCAGTGGCCCATAAGGCTGTAAGGCTCTCTCTCTCTCTC